AGAGTCACTCAATCATCAAGAAGTATTCTGGCTGCAAATCTCCCATTTCTTGATGAGACTTTGCATTCCTTTAACTTTAGCTGTGAGGTTACTTTGCTTCTGCATGTACATGACTCAAATGTTTTGTTCCAAAAGTTGCAGTTGCACAGCAGTTGTTATTACAATCTTCCGTGCCTCTTTTTTTTTCAGTTTACAGTGTATAGTCTTGCACTCTGATTTTTTTTTACTACATCAGTAATGCAACTGGTGTGGTGGTTACTGTAGCTGTAGCTATGAAATCTGTGTTGGTTGTGGTGCGTAGGGGGAGAGGACAAGGTTTGCATGCTTGAGATCACAAACAGAATGGACGGTTATATAACCCTACACAGGGGACATCGTCCACAAGTTGTATTTAATCCTACTTCTGAGACCGTCACTCTTCTGAGCTAATGTCTTCACTAGCAGTTGTTTCTATAATGTGGAAATGGAAGTCTATGACCCTTACTCAGTTTACTGTAACAGAAGTCTGGAATTTCCTTTGGTAGCCTGTAGCCAGGACAGTCGTTACCTCCCTGTGAATGAGCAAACTTGTCAGGGCCAGAAGAATCTTGGGAGTATTGTAGGACCAGAACTCCTTCAGCTAGGAAGGAGGGGCTGTAAGCATATTATCTTGAAATGTACAAGTTGCTTGAAAATTTCTAACATAGAAAACAGAACTGTGGCTAAAAGCATTAAGAATCATCTGGTAACTTCAAAATTTTAAATTGACTGCTTCCATGTCAAAACTTCTCTACTGAGCCAATTTAGTTTCCACTAAATGCACGCATCCATTTCTTTTTAAATATGGACTTTCATCAATGGCATTTTGCCAAAAGGTTTGTTTGAGATTCCCCTACAGTTTGTTTGAAGTAGGATTCTCAGACACACAGAATAAGATGTGCAGCAGTTGCAAGCAATTAACTTTTCCTAGTGTTCCTGAGGATCAAAATGAGACTCTAAATTTCAAGGCAAGTTTTGGGATTCTGTGCTTCAAACTCTTGGAGGTAACATGATGTGCAACTGAAGATTAAGATTCCTTCAAGCCAAGATTAAGAAATAGAAATACAAAGGTATATTTATCTTCTGTGCATGTATATGTGTATATATATAGAAAAACATGCAAACTACATGTCAGTGGCATGCTGTACTATAAATAAGAAACTACTTTAAGCTTTTATTAGAGCAGCTGCTTCCCTGCATTTCATGCACATCTGTTTTACCGATTTAAAGATTTATTTTGGGCTTTTGCTAATATGTGATGGTAATTTTTTTTTTAATTAAAATATTCCTCTTCTGCTTTACTCATTTTATAGTGTATCCTGTAGTATTATTAGTTTATCTTGACGTGCCTTTTGTATTTGATAAGCTATAAGAAATATTCTGCAGCACTGTTAGGAAATCTATCTTGGGAGGGGAAAGAAGAAACTAGTATTTCTTGTTTTGTTTTTTTTTCCCTGGTGCTTGTATTGAGCTTATTGAATTTTTTTTTGCATTGTATATTAACTGCAGAAGTAAGATTTAATCAAACTTTATAGGGAGCAACATCAGTTTTAGTTATTTCTCTACAATGTTCTTCTCCTTTCTGCATTCACTTCAGTGTGCTTGGCAATTTCAAAACTCAGTAGTGTAAGTAAAAAGAAACAAGTCTCCTTAATGTAATGCTAGCTGAAGAATGGCTTCAGTTCTATATTAAAGCTGTATCCTAATAATATTTTAAGTACTATGACTAATATTCTTTGAATATTGTTGTTTTTTTTCAATCTCCCTGTAGGATCCAGAGCCCAAAATTCTAAGGAGCTGGTAGTTTGGCAGTAAAAATGTCCACTGCCTAGGAAGGTGTTCATTTTCAGAACATATAAACCCCACCGCAGATAAACTACACACTGATAAATGAAAATAAATCCTTTATAATATGCATAAACTTAGAGTTGGGGGACTGGTTGGCTAGAGGGAACAAGATGGTCAAGAATAAGGGACATAGATGTGGGGAGGTGAAGATGGAGGAAAGCTGCTAGGGAAGAAAGCTTCTCATTTTATCTGAGTGTGCACAGCAGACGCCGCTGCTGAATATTTGGGGTTGGTTGGTTTGTTTGTTTGTTAAACAGGCAGCCCATTCCCTAGTACAATAACAGCTTGTGACGCAGTCTAAACCTCCTAAATTTTTGGCAGTCTGTTGGGGTTGTAATGAGATGCATTAACGCTTAAGGGATAATTAAAGATAATGAGGTATAGAGAAAGTGGAGTGCAAGGCAGCACGCTGCACTTCTGAAAGCCAGATGATGGCAATCTGACTTGTGTTGAAAAGAACTGATTTTCTAAATAGAAATTTTTATAGTTTGATCTGAATGCATACATAGCAACTGATGTGATGCCAGATTGCAAACTGTTGGTTAAATTGGAGAAACTAGGATTTAAGAGAGAAAATGTGAATATATAAGGGCCTAACATAAAGGAACTGAGAGCTGGGGGAAGCTGGGTCAAGAGAGCTCATTACTGGAATTTCTGTGGATTAATTTTTAGACAAGTCTTACTTCATGTTACTCCTTTAATGACAAAGATACACATAGAGAATGTTGCTGCTAAAATTTGTGGATGACACAAAATTCAAAAAATCTTCTCTCCATAGAAAGAATAGTTGCATGGAGATGTGTGGGTGATTTCATAGGACTCAGGCCCAGAAACTGGGGAGGTCTCAAACATTTTTGTGGTGCAAAATAAGGTTTTGTCAACACCAGGCTCCTTCCTCCTTTCCCTGGGAGAAATGGAGCAATACGAGTGGGATGAAATTTGGAGCTCTAGGGCATTACAGTTCAAATGTCAATTACAAGCTCTGCAGCTAAATAATGGAAAGGATGAAGGTGGAAAGGATGAAGGTTGATTGGGCTACATAGTGATTGAACTAACAGCATGGAATGGTTATGAAGGAGGTCTATGTATTCTTGGGAGGCAGTCACAGAGGATGGTTCCAGTAGATGGAGGAAATTACAGGTGGTGTTATAAGCAGCAGCTGGCGAGACATCATTTAATACCCTTCAGAAATAGTCATCTGGTTTGTGGAGAGGAAGAAAAACTGAAGTGTGTAGAGAGACCTGCAGCTAAGGAGGAAATGGTGTCTCATCAGAGAAAGCTTGAAGAGTGTGTCTTGTGCAGTCCAACTAAAGAAATCATGCGTGTTGCCTATAAATACACAGGTGGAGGCTGCCGAGGGGCTGGGAGGAGCTATTTCAACTGAAAGACGATACAGCAAAAATACAAGTGGCCATAGCCTGACCATTACTAATGGTAGTTGTAGAACTTGAAGTTGGAATTCTTTGGAGTCAACAGAAATAGCGAACCTTGGTCTACTTTTGCTACTAAATCTTGGTGAGATTTGGAAATAATTCCTTAATCAATTGATGTGTGATAATAATTCCTTAATCACCCCCAGCTGCCCTCCCCTGCCGCAGCTCCATGCCGTTCCCTCGGGCCCTGTCGCTGTCACACAGAGCAGAGCTCAGCGCTGCCCTCCGCTCCCTGTGAGGAGCTGCAGCCGCCATCAGGCCTCCCCTCAGCTCCTCTGCTCTGGGCTGAGCACACCAAGGCCTTCAGCTGCTCCTCACACACCTTGCCCTCCAGAGCCTTCTCCATCTTTGTAGCCCTCCTTTGGACACTCTCTAGCAGTTTGATGTCCTTCTTATGTTGTTGTGCCCATAACTGCACACAGTACTTGGTGAGATAGCCTTGATGAAGCGTATAGCGTGATGGAGACCATAACATGGCTACTTCGACTGGATTCTCTAAGATAGGTAAAATGAATCCAAGCCAAAGTATTTAAGATAGATTAGGCTTTGGAAATAACCAGAAAAATGGATAGGTGAGGCAGGGCTGTCAGTGAGATACTTAACGCTGCAGAAGTCTTGAGAGTTTGGTCTTCACTATAAATTTTTCCTTTTGTACTTGAACTAGAAGAAGAATTTCCTGACTTCCAACAAAAAATAATTCCAAGAAGAAAAGTTTTTGTGAATGTGGGATGAACCATTAGAGTTTGATCTGAAAAGGTGTCTGAGCAGTTAGGTTGCCAAAGCCTTTCTAAAAGCTGATTGGATTCAGGCTTGTAGGCCACAACTTGAAGTGGTTAGATTCCTTCTTGTCCTAGACATTGCAAGTGCTGGCTACAGAGATACTTCTGGTGGTCCTTGCTAGTAGCTGCTTGTGGAACCCAAGTCTAATTTCTTTTTGCAATGCAAATAGTGCCATAACAAGCTCTTTATATGAATTATCTTAGTGCCATATGGAAAAAAAAAAAAGTATTCCATATGCATAGAAGAGAGAGAAATGATATCTGAAGGTGCTGATGGCTAGATAAAGGAAACCTGATTTTAAGAATCTGAAACAACTATGATATGTTGTGTTGCTGTATTGCACATAGATCTCAACAATTTTACTGGTAGTAATGTGGCAGTGGAAGAAAAAAGCTTTGCTTTTGGAAGACAGGGTTCCATGGCAGCTGGGACCAAGAAACGATACTGTTTGATTCCACTGTGTTTTGTAGGAGTTGCAGTGGGTGAAATATCTGAGCTAATAAATATTGTACTGGAGGTCTTTACTTAAGTGCACAGACTATTCAAATGCAAGTTTCAAATGCAGTGCTATGTCTACAGGTTAATTTTCCAGATTTATATTTTTCTTTTTATTCAAGGTGATATGTTGCTAGTGGTTCTTGGCAGAGCTCTTTCATACTCTGCTAAAAGGGTTTTCTAGTGTTGCCCTCAATTTGATCACTACCTATCACAATCTTCTGGTGTTCAACATCAGAAATGTCAGCTGTTAAAATTTTATCTTCCTAGTTTGTCCCAGTTTTTAATACCATCCGAGCATATTGTCAGATCACTTTGGGAGTTTTTTTTCCCAAAACCAATGACAACTTTTTAGTAATTTGTTAAAAATATATATATAATTAAGCTTTCTTCAGTTCTTTTCCTAATAGTGCATTTCATTTACAGATAAATTTGCGCCTCATCTTGGTAAGCGGAAAAACGAAAGAGTTCTTGTTCTCACCAAATGACTCTGCTGCTGATATTGCAAAACATGTGTATGACAACTGGCCGATGGGTAAGTAGCCTCTGGCATTTTAATGGCAAGTTTGAAGTTTCCCTCTGTTGTCAGACTGAAGTGCTAATAAATGTGCTCTCAGCATTCAGATTTACATAAAGTAAAATTGTCATCTTGCCTTTGTTTGTTTCTTAGATTTAGATGTTTTGACTGTTTCCCTCTTTGTTTTAAAACTCACTTTCCCAGACTGAAGTTATTTCTTTATCTTTAAATATTTTTCTTGGTTAATTTTGGTAGAGGATATGATAAGTGGAAGACCTCAAAATACTGGGGATACAGAACTACTTATGTGAGGATAGCTAGTGGAAAACATGGTGTGTCACAGAAACACATTTGTGGTATTGAGTCTCAAGTTTTTCTCACTTACTGCCTTATCGTGGGAAGGATCTGTATTAATATTTTCCCAGGGAAAAATGAAGTATAAAAGTACATTTTAAGAGGTATTAAGACAGAGGGAACTAAGAGTGTTTATATGAATGTATTTGGTGCTATGCAGGAATACTACTCTTGTAAATTGGAATTGAAGACTAAGGTGTATTATTCACATATGTGAATAGTTCCATAAAGACAAAGTGCTACTGTTTTCCCTGAGTATGATTTCATGGGAAAATGGCCAAAGCACAGACATAGCATTACATATGATGAAAGAAAATGCTTCCTTTGGTACAGGATTTAATCAGGGTTACTATTTTGATGATGAAAAAGACTATTATTTGCACAAGACTGCAACACTACAATATCTGTTTTCTGTTGTGTCTTTATCACAGATGTGGGATAATAAACTGTGCCAAAAAGTTAATGTTGATAATCTATATTTTAGACTCTAAGCTTGCTGTCTTTGAGGTCAGTAAGCACAGGAGTTTTTGTGGTTGCTCATTTTGCTGGGATGTAGGATTATTGTAGCACAATATATTTAGTAAAATAAATAATGAAGGAAGAGGCTTATTGTCTTCTGAAATATTAGATACACAACACTTCTACACTAAGAAGTCTGGTTGATGTCATGTATTTGTAGCTGCTGTACATACTTTAATGTGAGCCTATAAAGTTTATTTCTGAACATGTGATCTTGCAGTCTAAAGCCTGTATCATGCCTCTTTATATGCATAGCAAAATGTTGCAGTGTTCAGAAGCAAAGGGTTACTTTTTGCTTCATCTTGTGTTGGGGCATTTGATTAGGAGGTCTTTGGCAAACATTATTTTAGGCATGTGAAGTAATTTATGAACTAATACTGAATAACAAGGGAAGTCATAATAATTGAAGTGATTTCATGCCACTACAGCAAAACAGGTACGTTGAGTGGTTGTAGCATTCAGTGTGTGATGTGGGTTTGCTTCAGCTCTCCTTCACATTAGTAAAGGTTTAAAGCCAGTAAAGCCACTGATTTCGGTAACCATAACGTAAGTTAACAGAACAGCATCAAAGGTGCGAATATTGGCATATGTTTGAAAGTTAGATAGTGTTTTGTTATTCAGATATGTTTCTAATATGATCTGCTCTTACTACCACGTGAAGAGCTTGAAAGTTGCAGACTCAGTTTATATTTGAGAAGAAACTCAGCCTTTAAAATCTCATCTTGAAGAAAATGAAGAACAGAACTGGGCATGGGAAGCATCAGTTCGATTACCTGGTATCCCACGGGAGTACTCTGAATCTTCCTCATGAATATTTAATTGCCCGTACTAAGAAGGATAGCAGCAATTTAAGAGACTGAGGAAAAAAACTACTTGGTGTATAGGTTTTCATATACATTATTAGCCTATTAGCTTTCTTTAAGTGAGCACTCTTCTGTGCCATAGGACTGAGAAATCTGAACGAGGACAAAAGTTTGTTTGAAATTGAGAGGATGTGAAATCACTGTTTTTACTGTCGTTGTGACTTGTCATCATTTTGTGGGGAGGAAAAAAACCAACCATGAAGTATCTTTAGTCACATGCTGGTGAACTTAAGCCAAACGTCTCTTCCTCCTTCAGTAATGCAATTGTTGATTAAGGATTTCCTGGCTCACAGAGAATGCTAAGTTAATATCCATGTATACAATGTAGGTAGGTTTCCTGTTCCCTTGCGTCCCTTTTTTTCTAAATAACTTTAAAAGATGCTTTGTTCAGGAATTATCTGTTAAGCTTTAAGAAGAAGAAATTAAAAAAAAAAAAAAAGTCATAGGTAAATATTTTTTCCTTGGTTCGCTTAGTCATCATTGGAATTTGAAAATTGAAATAGTGTCAGAAATGTTTCAGATTGCAAGCCAAGAAGCAAGAATTAAAAAGATGGGTGAATTGGCAGATCAACAATGAGAAAATACCTCTGCCAAAATACAGTCTGTTGTCTTCTGGTTGCTGTTCTGTATCATTATGGTACTGCAAATTGGCTGATCTTTACAGCCGGTGTCTCTGTGCAGTTCAGTTGCTATAGAGTAAATATGATTATGTAAACCTGGTGCCTTCCAAAAAGTAGTTTCTCCTAACGGTATGATAATTCCAATCCTTAGCTTAGTCCCCCTCCCAGCACAGCAGAAATGGCACGTGCTTTCGCTGCCAGACAATTGAGTCAGATGAGTGGCAGTATTTGAAATGGCTCTGGTTGCCAAGTTTCATCAAAGCTCGTAGCCCAGGGCTGCACCCGGTGACCCTACAGCTGCTGCCCTGCCTACCCACCCGGCCACCCTCATGCTCCCACCGGCTGCCCACTGCTTTCCTCCTTTCCCTTTTCAGTCCCCCTTTTGTGGTGCCTTGCCGCTGTCTGTGTGCTAATTGTATGTTCCCAGTTAACAGGTTGGCCTCTGTCTTCGGTCACCATCCCCTACTGAATATTCATTCTGGTATACAAACACTACAAAAGCTGCAAAAGAGCACATTTGTGAGCAGCTGTTAGCAGATATCTGGTCAGCTGAGAGACAGAAGAAGCTGCTCCCAGAGAGCCCATTTAAATGCAACATTTAAAGGTTTTTATATTTATTCCAAAAGCAAAGCGCAGATGTATTTGTTCATATTTTTACAGGGAACAGTGAAAGAGTAGGAAATGATCATCTCAGGTTATAAATGATTTATTACAGCCTAGGAGTTATGGGAAATGCATTATAGGAAAATGTATGCCTGTTTTTCCCAAATTGCTATTTGCTCCATAAAAACATCCCCAGATTGTTCTTGGAGACGTTCCTTAAAACATACCAGTAAATGTCTCCTCTGTGAGAGCCCTCTGTTCGGCCTCCCCGCAGCGACTGTTTGGGCCGTTCAGTTCCCTGCTGCCTCTGGACATGGAACTGGCTCAAGCTGGTCGGCATCGAGCGCTGCTGAGCTGCCCACAGTGTGCTCAGTTCTGTGATCTGGGAGCCCTGTTTCAAATGACCGGTCACATGCACTGCTGTATGCAGCTGCTTCTCAGTGCTGGAGAAAGGCTCCAGTTAGACAGCAAAGTGTGGAGGATGAGTATGGCTTGAGAACCCCCTGAGCTGTGGAAGGAAGAAAGAAGCAGTTTGGGCAGAATGAGTATTAAGCATCAACGTAAACAGGAGTCAGCTTGCCCTTAAAGTATGTTGGTCAGGACTTGTGTATATGCATTTCAAATATCTCATGCGGTCGGTGAGATAAGTTGATAATACTTACACTTGCAGGCATGCAATTAAATGTTTCAGTGCCTAGTGTCAAGTAAATTTAAGAACGCATTTCAGTTGAATTGTCTGTCTTCATTCTGTGCTTTCTTCAGTGTTTCATGCAGGAGAGTCCTGTACCTGGTTTTCTTTCAGAAGGTGGGAGAAATAACGAGGTGTTACTGCAACATAACTGAAAATTCTCTTACTTTTCAGATTGGGAAGAGGAACAAGTCAGCAGTCCAAATATCTTGCGGCTTATTTATCAAGGGAGGTTTCTTCATGGCAATGTGACACTAGGAGGTATGAAAGTAATTTTCATTATCCATGCTACAGCAAGGCAAAGAGCATTTTTATTATTACTATTTTTTTTCTAGTGCAGTAAATATTACTTCCCTGTTCATGATCATGGTATCACTTGCTTTGTACTATTTTCCTTCGGCATGGAATGGCATATTGTATCTTATCTTGTGTTCTTCTGTTCTATTATGACTAGTTGTTACAGTTTGGGATGTACCAACTGGTCAGTTCAGACTCTTGCAGAAATAAACGCTAATGCTGCTTTTATTTTTTGCCTTGTCAAATGGAATATTTTTTCCATTTTTCTTACCCTGATTTGAGGGCAAGTTACTACATAAACAATTCAGTATTTTAAAATATTGGATAAAGATTATAATTGAGTAAACAGTGCTTTAAACCTTTGTGCAATGAAGACAGACTCCCTATGAATGAGAATGAGGGGAAGCATTCTTGCTGTCCAGTGCTCTCCCAGGGATACAACTGCATAGTTAGGTGAAAATAAAAGTAAATGGCTCCACTTCATCTACTCAGAGAATGCAATTCAATTATGCCCCCTTGTGGCAAGCTTTTCTGCAATTATGTACTTTTTTAGATGGCTCTCTTGGGTGGAGATGTGACACAAAGTTGTGACAGTGATCTTTCCTTTTATCTCTGAAAAGTTGCCAGAGTTAATAGCAACTTTTGCAATGAATGTATTCTCTTCAAGCCATTTCAAAAATAAATATTCTTACCTTCTCTGGGTGTTCATGCGTTTGCTTGATTGCTATACAGAGAAGATAATGTAATACAAAATCACTAATGAAATGTTTCTGAAGTTCATCTGAACCAGGAAGGAATATTTCTGGACTGCTTATGATGGTATTTCCATTATGGAGTGACTGGAACGATACAGCTATTGATTCATTGCCTACCATTACTAACATTGGCTGATGATGTACTTTTAGAATAGGTTTGCCCTTCATATAAATCATTTTTTAATGCTGCTATATGAACTGAAAAGATCATTGTCAATTCAAAAAGAACTCTGAGATTTTTATTCACTCTTTAATTTGTATGTTTACCTGGTGCCAATGTGTGTAGGTAGTGGTGGTTGGAGAAGGGTTGAAAGACAAGTGTTAACTCTTGGATCATGTCTGCAATTACAGACATGGAACTTGCCTTACATTTTCCAGGGGGTTTTCTTTGCCATTCACCTGTGGGTGTTGTTTTTAACTACTAATGCTTGTTCTGTTCACTGATATCTGTCTAAACCTGAAGCAGACTTGAATATTTGTTGAACAAGCTATGCTGAAAAATAATAGCTGTGTGCTGTTGACTTTTACCTTCTCTCAATCCCTGTGTTCTAAATGCTTTTGGTTCTGGGCATTTCAGTTCATTGTTAATCACTCATGCATTGCAATTTAATTGTCATGTTTTTAGCCTAAGGACCTGACATACCTGACACGTATGTTAGTGTTTTTCAAAGATCTTTGTTGCTGTCTTGTTTTTTATAAAATAAAAAAAATATCTAAAACAGTGGCTTACTGTAGTAGGAATGAATTTATCTGGAGTGAGGTAAACAGCTCAAAGAGCAGCAGCAATTCCTGTAGCAGCCTGAAAAGGCTCTTATTTCATTATTACAAAGTTTCTACTAATAACCTGAAGTGAACTTGTGAATTTTAAAAGTAGGGAGAAAAAAGCTTTCTTGTTAAATACAATATTTAGTTTCTTATACCACTGTAATACAGTTCCATTATGCTTTTCTATCTGCAGCTCTCTATAACTGCTATAGCACTTAGTGTTTTATTTGCTTTAGGTGATTAGGAAATATTGACTGGAATTTGAACTTACTGTGTACTGAAGCTTTATCAACTAGTGAAACAAGAGTTTCCAAGGAAACTGTGGTGTGGCTTTTTAAACAGGAGTCCATTTTGATCACATTTAAAATGACATAGTAATGTTCTCGCTGTAGCCTCACTGATGCATAAAAACTGAGACTCCTTTAAATGCAGAATCCTCAAAAAAAAAAGACAAATTGAAAGAAAAGACTCTGCAGAGTGGAAAAGTGTGTTTTAAAGGAACCATTTATTTGACCACCTTTTCTGAATGGACTGCCACAGAAATACGTTCACCTAAATCTTGTGAATAAATATAACAGCTATGACAACATAATGGATTGTTGATCTGGATGGTGGGTTGTTTATTGAAATGATTTAGTAAAATGATTATCAAATGATTTTGGGGGTTGGACTCAATGATCTCCAGAGGTCCTTGCTACAATTCTGTGATTTTTATTAAGAATGCTGTGTGCAATATCTGAAAGATAAAACTGGATGAGTAGAGGATCTGATTAATGTTTATAAATATCTAAGGAGAGATGGGAGGCAAATGGATGAGGCCAGGCTCTTCTTGGTGGTACATAGCTTTAGGACAAGGAGCAATGGCTTAAAACTTGAACATAGGAAGTTCCATACTAACATGCAGAAGAACTCATATGGTAAGGGTAACAGAGCACTGGAACAGGCTGCCTGGAGAGCTTGTGGAGTCTCATTCTATGGAGGCAATCAAGACCCAGCTGGATGTCTACCTGTGCAAACTAGTAGGGCACCAGCTTTAGCAGGGGGTTGGGCTCGATGATCTCCAGAGGTCCCCTCCATCCCCAACAGTTCTGTGAAACAGCCAAGCTTAGGGCATTACAAGTGTTAAAAAAATAGAGAAGTGTCTGTAGAGCTTGTCTTGCCACCCACACTGCTTCAGATACCCTGTTTCCTGCCTGTGCCAGGAGCGAGGGAATCAGAGAAACAGAGTTGCTTGTTCAGCCTCCAGGAAATCTTATCCTTTGCTTACATGTTTAGTCTGCAGTTTGCATTTGAAATAATATATTTGAAATAATTAGGGAGTTAATACATCACTGATAGTTCTCTTTGTCTTGTTAGTGGCTATAGGCAATATCTTACTTAACAAAAGAGGGACAGTCATCCTGCCCTGTGCTGTACATGTACTAAAGAGAGTGAGAAGGAAATCTGACATTAGAAAATCTGGAATAAAAGCAGAATTATGTAGATTAGAAAGGAATTAAATAAAGGTTTAGTTTAAGTGAGACAAAAGAATGAAAGGGCAATGATGATAGTGGGAAAGGATTACTGGGCTTAGTTTAGGGAGCTTGCTTTCTTTCATGGTGCTCCAAAGCAAATAGTTGTTGGAAATTGTTAATAAGAACTTGTGTGAACTATGCAAACAATTAGCTAGAATAAATTAATAAAAAAAATTAGTGTACTTTTTGCTTGATTCCTATAAATAATTAATCTCCATGGCTCACTAATCAAGTTTCCTTGAGTGTCTTAATATTATAGAAGATGTCCCTGATGTGATTAATTTGTAAAATCTTGGTCTTTCTTGTGCCCAAGAATTTATGTAATGAAGAAAATAATTTTACATTGAGTTTAACAGGCTCTTAATATGCTCTTTGCAGAGTTTTCAGTTGTATCACAGAGATCAGTGCCCAAAATACTTTATCCTGTCAGACTATGGGCTGTCAATGGCTTCTAGTTGCAGGCTTCAAGTATATTAACCAACTTTCAGATCTGTTTTTTCTAGAGACAGCTATTCCTTCAGCTGCTTCAGAGACGTTTTTATCTGTGTATCCCTCCATATGTTACACCAGTGTCATAATCAGAACTTGATTTTTCTTCACATTCATGGCTACTAAATCATTTTTATTGCTGATGTTGTAGCTAGATTTGTATCAGAAGCAAGTAGTGAGCAAATCATGTTTGCTTGTTTTACTGCACAATTCTCCATCTATGCCGTAGTGATTAAAATGAATAAAAGCATTTTCTCTTCAATTATTTCCAGATCCACGAGACATTCATTTATTCACTTAAAATTATTTGATGCGCTCTCTATGGAAGCAGAAGTAATAAATTGAACTTAAGAGGAAAAATTCTACTCTAGTCAAAATAACTTACATGTTTAGGGTGAAGCCATTGTTGTATTTCTATTTCTCCCTAGCTTTTTTCCTTCTATAAATCGGAAATAAAAGCACCTTAAAGAGAGTGCATCTTTGCATTTGTTAGAAAAATAGTTAAGAAAGGTGCTTAGGATTAGGAGTGAGGAAACAAACCTAAAATAATGTAAAAAAAACTTATAAAAGTTCTTTTAAAAGAGAAAAAAGTTGAAGTTCTTAATACTGAACCTTACAGTGAGAAATTGTTAAACGTAATGAACAGTAGTGAATGTTTTGATTTCAAGGGGAATAGAAGCCTTGGTAAGTCCTGTAGTGCAGCGATAAATCCTTAATGCAGCATTGCACTGGTATATTTAAATCAGAGTGTGGGGAAAAAAAAAGTTTCAACAGCAAGCAGAATGAATTGTGGAACTTGTTAACAAGGCCCACGTACGCAGCATTGTGAGGAGTAGCCTATCTGATTTTAGTGTTCTAAATTTGATGCTTTGCACATGTAGTGATGTCACACTACAATATTAAAAAGTAAGATGCAGACACTTTGTATCTCAGAAATCCACATTATGGATGTAAGTATATTTTAGGAGAATGAATTTTGCAGTGGTGGCTGGTATTTTGAGTGTCTCAGAACTAACAGTGTAGTGGCTGAAATAGCCATTTTTCCCATCTTTATGAATGAAGGGCACTTAGTGCCTGACTCTCAGCTTTCCTCTTTCACTCAGAAGAGGACGATTAAATTTCTTAAAAAGAATATCAGAGGGCTGGAGCACCTCTCCTGTGAGGAAAGGTTGAGGGAGCTGGGCTTGTTTAGGTTGGAGAAGAGAAGGCTCCAGGGAGACCTCATTGTGGCCCTCCAATATTTGAAGGGAGCATATAAACAGGAAGGGAAATAGCTGTTTATGAGGTGGATAGTGATAGGACAAGGGGGAACGGTTTTAAACTGAGACAGGGGAGGTTTAGGTTAGATATTAGGAGGAAGTTTTTCACCCAGAGGGTGGTGACGCACTGGAACAGGTTGCCCAAGGAGGCTGTGGATGCCCCATCCCTGGAGGCATTCAAGGCCAGGCTGGATGTGGCTCTGGGCAGCCTGGTCTGCTGGTTGGTGACCCTGCACATAGCAGGGGTGTTCAAACTAGATGATCATTGTTGTCCTTTTCAACCCAGGCCATTCTGTGATTCTATGATTCCTAAGAACACCGTGGTTTAAGTTGTTATTATCATGTCCTAAAATGGCAATCTACAAAACTTTTGCCAGGAATATGTTTTTTTAGTAAGTAGCTCAAAGTTTACATATGAGCTTCTGAAGAGATGCAAATCTGGTCAGTGTTAGTTTCAATTGATAAAAGATTACAGTAATGTATTATAAATCTCCCTTTCTTTCTTCTGCAGCATTAAAACTTCCTTTTGGCAAAACAACAGTGATGCATTTGGTGGCTAGAGAGACATTGCCAGAACCAAATTCTCAAGGTAAGCTGTACATTAGAAATGTTTCCTATTCAAATATGTGGCAAAGTAATCGTGGCTCAGGCTTTATAAGTATTTTACAGCAGAGAAGTCTTGTGGACTTGTGAAATAATAGAATATTTTTGTATGTGTTACCTATAGAAGACCAAGAAATTGCCTTTCTGTTTTTGCATTTTTGTAAAAAAGTGGAAACTTAGCCAAACCTTTGAAACATCAATTTTTGTTGTTAAAAAATACTCCATGTTTGCATGTAGATAATAAAAATATGTATTATTTTTAGTACAAAAAAAAGTACATAAGTACATTCTTATGCATACTCTTTTTACATGCAGAACAATCTAATCTTTTTAGAAACAGTTTCTGAGCAAAACTTTCTTCTTGCTTCACAGGTCAAAGGAACCGTGAAAAAACTGGAGAAAGCAATTGCTGTGTAATCCTGTAAACCCTGTTAGCTTTACCTGCTAAGTGTGATGTAATATAGTCTTTGTCTTTCATGCTGCTGGAATAGAAGAGGCCCTACCTTGCTTCAAACACCTGTAGGAAGAGCCTGTCTGTAAATCCATGGAACTGAAATATTACACGAACACTGTCTCATTAGTCTTTTTTTTTTAAAGAGAAAGATCTATGAACACTTTCATTGTTTTTTTAAATTCCTGCTTTCTGTTTGTTGAATAATCATACAGTACATCAGTTCTTGAAGGAATTTGATCTCCGGAAAACTTAATGTGTTCTTTTCCATAGCAGGAATCATTTTGCTACCACAAAAATCTCTATTAACCGGATCTAACTAGTCAAGCTTTCTAGATGCAATTTGCACTAAGTATGGTTGACGTTATATTTCTCATCAACAATCTGTAACAATAGTTGAAATACCTAGTGGTAACCTCCAATGTATAATGCAACACTGGAAAATAGTATATCTATAATGAAAGTAAATCTCATTTATGGCCAAATCAAGGGAAAAACTTAAGTCAATTCTACCTGAGTCAACCTGAGTGGTGGCCGACCTGGCACAGAATGCTAACTAAACCAACTCTAACTATATATATTTTCACTAAAACAAAAACAAAACGATGTGCCTGTAATTTAAAAGCACTCTGTAGAGGGCTGACGAAACTAATCTTTTTCGTTACTGTGTGCACTCTTTATCTCGTATGTTAGGTGAGTGCTTAATTCAGACAGCACAAACAAGTGCAGAGAGTGCATTTCCTAGCCTTAATATGGGAGGGGTAATTTCCTGTAGTTCATAGGCTTTTATTATTGTGCATAAATGTTAGAAAACATCTACTAATCAGTTTTATGTATTTGAATATTGACAATTGGTGTTTTTCAGTCACTTTCTCATCTGTACCTTAGTGTCCAGTGTCATGCTTACTCATTAGAGACTTCAAAAGAATTATTAAAGTTTAAAAAGCAAAAAGAAAAACCTCTGCCATAGTACTAGTTTTGTTTCTTTACGTAATCTGCATTTGGTATTAGTGCTTGCAATTGCATTAAAATCAGAAGCTGATTTTTAAAGGCATACATAATTAAAAGGATGCCATTCTTTTATTCCATATCAATAATTTAAACGTTGATATGCTAAAGAAATTTGCACAGCACTAAAGCATGAGCTAGTTTCATCTAAATCTGTAAAAAATAAAAAAATTAAAAAAAATAAAAAAAATTAAAAAAAATAAAAGATTTTATATTTTTTTCACTGGGGAGGAATTCTTCCTGGCTGAAATTACAAATATGTGTAGAATATATTTAATAAAAATCTTATAAAATACTTAACTATAGAAGTTAAATATAGATTGGCGTGTAGTATAATAGAACAATATTCCATATAAATAGCTTTAGCCTTTAAAAAGAAGTCACAGGTTGACATTGTGTTCTGTACTTATGTGTCCTCAACTCTTACAGATGTTCTATATAATCATTTTTTTGAATGATTGGCATCATTCAAATGTAATCTGGTTATTTTATCCATTGTTATTGCTTTGATGAAATGCTTTATATGCAGTAGATTTACAAAAATATTGTTCATACTGATCAGAATTAAATTTGTATAGAGCAGAGTTTTAAAACAAATTGTAAATAGCACTAAACATTTTCTTTCTGCAACCTGTACTGATAGACTCCCCTGTAAACTAAATAAAAAAATATTGTAGTGCAGTTTGGTGGTGCTTTAAGGGCTGTGATCGGGTCCATAGCTAACTTTAATAGCACTTCTTAATCTGGAAGCTAATTAAGGAATTTTAAGAAAAACATGCACTGAGAACTGGTAGTGGAATGTTTCTCTCCAGTTTTGTTTTCACTGGCGTGGTGACTTCAGATTTTGAGTGCTTCAAACCAATGCTGTGACAGCGCTTAAGCTCCTTGGGGAAGGATAAAGTTGTCGGCACCAAGTAATTAAATGGAAGGTGGGAACATTCCTGTCGTGTGACCACACAAACAAGTTCCTGGGCAGGGCCTTAGGTGTGCTCTCACGGTAAGCACGCGGTGACTTGTGTGGCTTCATTTCATGTACTTTGTGAACAGAAGAAAGTGGCATAGGGTTGGTTTTTTTCCTTTATTGGATGAGAATACGAATGTGGACAGTTGCAGTTGTGAATGTACTGTCATGTCTGGTGTACCTCACAGAAGCTTAATGTCCTCCTGTAAGTTCTTTTAGGCTTAATGAAAAGCATATGCATGCCTTTTTGGTGTTAGGAATTGAGGTGACAGCATCGTTCTGTGTTCATTGCCTAGATGAACTTGGGAGGGAATTCCTTTTCATCACTAGATAGGCAGCTATAAAGAAACCAAAGTTTTTATTAAAGTTTGATAAATGTTGACTTAAGTATGCCTCTAGTGGCATGTTATCATCTTTATTTATAAGATAGAACTTCCCTTTTCCAGAATGTTGCCCACCTATGTATTTTGGGAATTGGTTTTGACAACACAAGAAAAAAAAAATAGGCTGAGGCAGAACGTGTTTTATTAGCTAAAGAAGTCTTTAAGATGCATTGATTTTAGAAAATGTTTGAAAAATAAGCTTGTTTTCAAAAAGTAGTTAGGTGCTTTAATGCTGTATGAATACATAAAAATCCAGTAGGTTCTGGTTAAAATATTTGGCAGACTTGAATAGTGAAGTATGCGGAGTTCCCTTTTGTTGAGACAAATAAAATATATGTGCTTGTCCAAGCAAATCTGTAAATACTGCCTGACATTTAAAATGTGAGCTTGTCAAAATGCAACTTCTGCAGAAACCAAATAGGACTGTTGCCTTAATTTTCACTCAAGTTCTTAGAGCACAGACCATTCTACAGCGCTCCGTCTGTGGTGATGGACGAATGGAAAACTACAGAGGAGGCTCGTTGAAAGATCTGTGCATTTTCCTTGGATGCTTTGTCTTGTGGATTTGTCAAAACAAAACTGGCAGTTCTTAATTCCATATTGCTCTGCCTTGCTAAAGCTCATGCGTGTGTTTCTCTTTTGATTGGAATCAAGAGAGTACTTGCAGACCATAAAGATTAAGACTAAATCTTTGCAGGGCCAGGCTGTTGGACAGTGTGCTAATGTATTAGAGCGCTTGACATTTGATTCTCACTGTTGAACAGAAATGATATTTTCCCAATGGATAAGTTAATAGATGGCATTAAGGATGAGAGGAGAGGATGAATCAGAACCCTTTATATTCTGAAATGTCATGGAGGGATCACATCTGTCTCCCACACCACCACGTGTGCTATCAGTTGTAAATCAGTATTAGTACATGTGAGGAATTACGCCTGATAGTAATGAAAGTACTCTTGTAACTTCTGCTTTCTTAAATGATAGTGTGACGTAACTGTTTCAGCAGCCTTAAGGACTTCTTTAGTTGCTGGAAGGAGAAAGCGTGGCTACTGGTTGATTTTTTGCTTGGTTGGGTTTGGTTGTGCTAGTGTGTGGTGTTGCTGTTAACCCAGTGGTGATCTCTGCAGTCTGAATGCACTTCTTTAACACACTGCCTTTACAACAGGAGGTGCAGTGACTGAATTTAGAACAAAAATATATGGCACGCTGAAAAGCAGCTGTTCCTAGGCTGGCTGAGAGTCAGGAAGGAGCTTCTGCTGCTGATCTTTGGGGATGTGAATGCCACGTGCTTTGTGGTTCAGTGTGTGCTCTAATAACATCCATTTTACAAAACCTTCTTCACGAAGCCAAGCAGAAGATGGATACGCTCCTCTCTAAAACTCACTAATATTATGCTAATTAAATGGATAAGCTTAAGCAGATTTTAGGTTACATGTCCTATCAGAATTGATGTTTAGAACATTAACAGTTGTGCTATTGAAACTGACGAACTTCTGTAATTAAGTTGGAGGAAATATTAAGATCTTTGAAGAGCCTCTTATCTCCTTTATTTCTTTTGGGATAGCTATGTTCTAGATACTGAGTCTTGACAATAATTAGTGAGAATCAAGTTTTATTTCAGAGCCCAGTAAGAGCCAGGAGGCTGGCAATACTATGTGGTTCATGATAACAACTGGTTAAAGTCCTCATGCTGTAGTAGCATACTTGCCAGAAGCAGTTGTCCTGTGCCATGTATATGTCCTACAGTGCAGTAACCAATTTGTTTACCAATTTATTATGCTATACTAAAATCCAGGGGGAAAAAAACCTCAAACTTTATTCTTTTTTTTTTCCTGTAGTTCTGATTCTCTTTTACTATTTTTTTTTTTTTTAATGATAAAGGAATAAGCAATGAAGTAGGAAATTGTGAAGGTTTTTAATATGAAGCTTAAAGAAAAATCTGGAAAGTGCAGCTGTATGTTACCAAGTGTGTTAAATGGATCACAGTGAGAAGTCAAGTTCAGTTTTGAATGTAGAGTAAGACATCGTTAGAGAAAGCAAAGTAACTTGCACAACTGGTAGTTTTGCAGTTGTCTGGATCATTCTGGAGCTGAGTTCTGGGCATCATGGCAGATGCTTTGTACTGCAAGTTCCATAGGGCCTGGGAAGTGGTAACAAAAATGATCGGACAACAGAAGTACTGGGGATACTGAAGAGAATGGGAGGTTAAGCTATCTACAATGGTGATGAGCACAGAGGAAATGGGTGGAGAGTGTCTGCTTTTGCCTCAGTCTTGTTGGCCCAGTTTATAAATTCCTCTTTAAAGTAGAGATGACATTCAATTATGACAGGAATATTTTTCTTGAAATCAATGGAACTGACTTTCTCCAGAAATAACTTTTGAGAAAAGCTGAGCAGGATTTAAAAGGATGGGTCATTATAAGCATAGTAAGAAATTTCAGAACAGTTATGATCATTGATAAACCTTTTTTTTTTTTTTTTTTCCAGCAAGGTATTAATTTTTGTCCTTCAACCATTACACTAACTTAGTGGAGCTCTGCTCTTAGAGGGGGAAGAACACTTCCAGCACATCCCCACCTCCATTATGTGCAAGCAACAGCATAATATGAGCCCTAGCCTGGAGCAGACAGAGGTATCCTATGTCACGGTAGGAGTTTATCTTGGCAAACTCACCTCAGAGTTGAGGTGATGTTGGTGCTTTCTTGGAGCAAATTTGAGGCCATAAGCTACTATAATTAGATGGTGGAGAATGTAAAGGCAGTAAGGAGGCAGTTAATGCCTCTTCTGAGACTGCAGAGCAAGATCAAAGCACCCTGCTGTTACCAGTTCAGAGAACTTTGAATTTGTAGGTAGTAAACATTTTGACTGTTCTACAAGAAAATACATTGCAATTACTCTTTTGTTTGGATAGAGACAGAATGAAACGTGGAATCATTTCCTTTCATGATGTCTTTCATTTGTTGTCCATATCAATTGATATGGACAGTCCAAGACAGGGAAGTGTGTATTGGTGTCTTTGTGCTACTGCATCTCTTATGCTAGCTAAATTAAGGAGTGACTGGGCTTTAGTTCCTTAATTTCTGCAGCTCATGCATGTTCCTAAATAAGAATTGCTCATTTCTGGTCTCGAGTGTGGTAAGATACTGACATGGAAAGTCAGCAGGCATCCAGCAAAGGGAAATCTGCCTTCTCATCCTCTGAGCAGTGACCATCTCTTACTTCTCCATGAAAGTTTTCCAGCTTCCATCGTTCTGATTTCCTGCTGCCTGGTACTTCAGGATGCAGGCTGCAGAGATCACCATGGGATACCTTCTCTGTTCATCCAAATCCACACCAAGGGCTGGAAAACATCACCGGTATGGATGCAGTGGGATTCTGCAACCATCTACATCTAAGCCCCAGGATTTCCCCGGGGGCTGCTCTGCTGCCAGTGCACTTTCACCCTTGGGAGGATCTTGATGACAAAACCATTCTCTGAGTGGCTGCTGGGAGGTGAAGCTGTGTCACTGGGATGCTCTAAGCCAGCCCTGTCCTCAGAGAACTGCTGGAGCAACGCAGGTCACTGCTGCTGTCACCTGTGAGACTGGGGTCATTTGGGCTTTCCAG